AGGGGGTGGACAGACACACCTCCCATATGCTATGAAATGGGAGGCGCCGTATTAAATGTTGCCATTAATGTAAATCATGAAAAGCCTATCGCAGCTAAAGCCAGAAAAGTGGAGCTAAATTCCCAAACAATGATTTCCATTAAAGAATACGATCTCAACAGACAATTGATCACAGATTTAAAGTTAAATAATATCCAAGACTTTAGCGATTATTGTAAACCGGATTCTTGCGGAGCTCTCATCAAATCAGCGCTTATTTGTTGTCAAATTGTGGATTTGAACGGTTTGTACATTAAAATTAATTTGAGAATAATATTCATTCATTGATTGATTAATTTCCCGAAATAGACGACGAGAAGGATCTCTACAAACAATTAAAACGGAAACTAATGTCTGGACTTGAGATCGAGTTGTGGTCACATTTACCGCAGGGATCCGGTTTGGGAACCAGTAGTATATTATTGAGTTGTGTTATCGCCGTTTTGTGGATCATATCAGGAAAACAATTCACAAAAACAGCGCTAATTAACGCGGTTTTATATACTGAGCAGCTGTTAACAACTGGTGGTGGTTGGCAGGACCAGGTTCATATCAATTAATTAATATAATATAAACTCATTATTAATGAACCGATTATTTGATTTGAATAGATTGGAGGCATTGTTGGTGGCGTCAAATTGGGTCGATCTGAGGCCTCTCTGCCCCTTAAGATTCACTACAAGACGATCGCAATTACAGAATCATTTCGCATACAATTAGAAAAGCATTTAATGCTTATATATTCGGGAACCGTTAGATTGGCTAAGAATTTACTGCAAACAGTGATACAAAACTGGTATATAAGAGATCAACGGATCACCGGTTGTTTCAACCAATTGTTGGCCGAAACAGACCTCTGTTTGGATGCATTTATTAGAGAAGATATGAAAGGAATCGGAGAACTTCTCACTAAATATTGGCAATTGAAAAAAGTTTTGGCCACTAATAGTGAGCCCAAACATGTCTCGCAATTTCTTAAAAGGTATTTTAAATTGCATTTAAATTTAATTTAAATTTATACGCAAATTATTTGGTATTTAGTGTTGAGCCGTATATATACGGTGGAAGTCTGTGTGGGGCCGGAGGCGGAGGTTTTGTCTGTCTTGTTGTCAAAGACATTGCTTTCAAAGAGGAAATCAATTCAATGGTTAAACAATATTTAAGTGAATCTCAAATATATGACTGTCTTATCGACGAAAGTGGACTCGAAATCACTGTCAATGATATTACATATAATGCCTTTAAATAAAATATTTTCATAAATAATATACACTATTCATTAATATTAGATGTTATACAATATTATATGATATGTTATACAATACACATATTTAAAAATTTATAAAACACTGATTAGATTATAAATTTAAAAACAAGCATGCACCATTTATTAAAAGTTTATATTTTTGATAAAATTTTAAATAAAAATTTAAATATTTTAAACAAACAACATGGACTATCAACTCGAGCAACACATCCCTGACCTATCGGTCTCTCTATCGCTAACATTAATAAATTATCCAACTTTTAATTCTAGTTCAAACAAATAATTTCAATATAAGCTATTACGTAAGCTTAAAACTATTTTTGAAATTAAAGTAAAAGTTTTCAGTCGTGTATAGCCTTCGAGACGGCGCTCGTACTCAACACAAGCGATGCATTGATCTGTTTTCTCCTCCAAAAGTGTTTTGCAATTTTGTCATTCAATCAAATCGTTTTTGTTTTCAATTTGACGGCTTTTCACACCAAATGTTTGGTATATAAAAACTTTTACTCACTTTTAATTACTTGAATGAAAGTTACAACTCTATGAGAGCTATAACTAGCGATTCATTATTAAATGTTTAATATCATTGAGATTTTTATTTGATATTCAATTTTTCAATTAATGGGTAAACTGTGTATAACTTTCTTCTTATAGTTGTATTGATTAATCAATAATTAATTAATTGCATGAATAATACAATATTACAATCATTACAATAGATTTCATTAAATGTTTTTTGGGTCAAAATAATTAGCTAATGATATAAAGGAGACGTAAACTAAATTTTACGCTTAAAGTACTATTGGGTTTGCCTTTAGGTTAGGTTTTTAAATACAATGTTATTTAGTTTGAATTACAAGTCATTCTGACCTCAAATGTTAAACAATTTACTGTTTATAACATTAATTTAATTGTTAAAAATACAAAATCGACCATATTTAATGATTATATATGTGTGCTGGGCAATATCTAAATAATGTACCTAGCTAACTTTGTGCATGTTTAAAGTGCATCAATAAAATTGTTATATAAAATTGAAAGCTATTGTAACTGTAAATGAGATATATTTAGATCTTTTTCGTGCATTTTATAATATGCTGTATATGTTTCACAACTAATAAATTGTTTAAATAAACTATAAATTAATATAATTATCAATTAAATTGTCTTACATTTAAGTCTCAAATAAGTGTATAATAATGTTATTTAGCGATAATATTGTTATTATGTTTGCAATCGTAAATTCATGACAATATTATCATCACATCTAATGATAAAAATAATTTAATAATTAATCTCTCGTTTCGGTTGAGCTCTCCATAAGAGTTATTCAAGATTTCAAACTTATTTGAGAGTAATTTGTCGTCTTTATAGCCATTCAGACATCAAAATGAGTGAATATATTGAGCAAAAAGTTTGCAAAACAAGTGATTTACAAAATAACGAGTTTGTATTACAATATACTTCACAATTGTATTCAATTTAATCTTCAATTGTCTATTGAATTATAGGAAAAAAGTGGTCGATTTGGGCGAAGAGGGGAAAGTGCTTCTCATCAAACAGGACAACCAGTTTCGGGCCATTGGACCCAAATGTAGTCATTACGGCGCCCCTCTCGCCAACGGTATCCCAACATTTGGTTTCACATTACAGTTGTTTGTATCAATTGTTGACCACATTTACATTGTTAGGTGTATTGTATGGCTCGCAGATATCATGTCCGTGGCATTCCGCCACTTTCTGTATTAAAACCGGTGATATTGAAGACTTCCCCGGATGTGATAGCATTCCTGTGCACGAGGTTTCGATCACTACTTGTCTTTAAAAACAACTATAACTAAATGAAGCATTGATTGTGTGAATTAGGTGTTAATAAAAGGCGAGGATGTGATCGTTAAGGCCAAGAGAACCGCTTTGACTAATAGTACTCGAGTGAAGAGTTTGAGCGCTAAAGACCCGAACAATGTCCTCACTTTTGTGGTCGTCGGCGGAGGTTTGCATTGAAAGTAAAACTAATGTTAATCAATATAATTGAAGTCAAATATCAACCTAAGGACCGGCGGGTTTCCAATGCGCCGAAACCTTACGACAAGAGGGCTTCACGGGTCGGGTTGTGATGATCACCAGTGAAGACACCTATCCGTACGATAGGACCAAATTAAGCAAAGTTTGAATAATTATTGCATTTTTTGTCTTCATTTTGCGTAATATTTTGATTATTTGAATGAAAGGCTTTGAGTACTAAAGTGGCGGATCTTCTTCTCCGGTCTGAGCAATATTTAAAAGACGCTAACATTGAAGTGATTCTCAAGACTACTGTCGATAAGTTGAACCCTAAAGAGAAATCAGTTCAACTCAACAACGGACTCACTCTTAAGTTTGACAGAATATTCTTGGGAACCGGTGTTAGGTTTGTGTATATATTTTTTTATAAACGATTATTATATGCTATTTCTTATCGACTATTTATTACATAAAATCATATTTAGACCCAAAATATGTGAGGCGAAGGGAAATGGGTTGAAAAATATCTGTTATCTGCGAACCCATTCCGACGCCAACTATATTGCACAGAATGCAACCGAGAAGAACGTGATCATAATTGGCACTTCATTTATCGGTTAAATTTGTTATTTGTGTCAAATATAAGTAAATAATTATAACAATTCGCTGATAGGTATGGAAGTGGCGGCGTTTCTCAACGGAAAGGCTAAGACCATAGCAGTGATCGGCAAAAGTAAATACCCCTTCGCTTTAACATTGGGTAAAGAAATCGGCGAACAAATCAAAGAAGTGTGCATTCATTATAAGATTAATGTGTTTTTACTTATTTTAAGAGTTGTTTCTCTCCATTCAATAGCTCTACGAATTAAAAGGAATTAAATTTTTCACCGAATCTGGAGTTAAAGAGTTTGTCGGAGAAAATAATCAATTGAAACAAATAGTTCTGACAAATGGCCAGACATTGCCCGCAGATATCTGTGTCGTTGGAATCGGTAATTCGTACCTAATTTTATCATAAGATAATCAATGATTATTAATATATTAACGCAACAATTGGTTCAGGCGGTGAACCCAACACTGATTTTCTGAAGGGAACTGACATTAAAATGGATAAATCATATATCGTTGTCGACAAAAACTTTGAAACGTCCGAAAAGAATGTGTTCGCCGGCGGAGATGTGGTTCGCTATGAGCTGTCAATTGTCAATCAAAGTGTGGTGAATGTGGGCCACTGGCAAACCGCACAATCACATGGTATTTATACAGCATCGGCACCTATTTGTTGGCCAATCAAATAATACATAAATGAATTACAATTACAGGTAAAACTGCGGCTCTAAGTATGTTAGGAAAGACATCGAAACTAAAGTCCGTCCCATTCTTTTGGTCCATGTTTTTTGGCAAAGGACTTCGTTTCGCAGGTTTTTTCATTCATTTATTTTTAATCGTTTCAATCGATTGTATTTATGTTTTGTTTCAAATTTAAGGAAATAACGAGGGATTCAAAGACGTGATAATAGACGGCGATGTATTGCAACTCAAATTCGTGGCCTATTATATCGACAACGCGGCCAAAGTGGTAGCCGTGGCCACAATAGGCAACGACCCGATCGCTACTATGTTCGCAGCCTATGTTAGGAGTGGAAAAACTTTAACCGCCGCTGAAATCAAGTATTTAATCATTTCTATCGTCGAGCGTATCATTTAATTAACAATTGTCTTAAACTTCTAGAACTGATCCAAAGAAATGGATCGCATCGATGACAACTACCAAACAATAGAACATCACTTTTTAAATCCTAGTTTATATTTTGAAATTTCATCTAATATTATATAAAATGCTATTAATATATAAATACAGTATAAGTGTGTAATGAAATAAAAAGGCGGCCATTCATTAGCATTAGTCTTCTTCTTCGAAACCACGGCTAAAGTCTAACTTTCGGAGATAATCGGCGGCGAAGTACTGCTTAAGAGGCTCTTCAAGCGGTTGCCGAAGGAAGTCATCCCAATATTCGGGTCGAGTTCTGCCGATGGACTGGAGGTAAGCCTTCTCTTGGGACTAAACATTGGGATCAAACGATACATCAATTGTAGTGATCAATGATCACCGGTAAAGACAAGACATTTGTGGACACAATTGCTTACAGGAGTGATGTATGGTTTGGAGATATATCTCATCACTTGTTCCTCGTGTTTGAGTTGTTTATAAAGCGATAACTTCTTCCCAGTCGTCACTTTCGGGACGAACCGATGCTTTCTGGACACCAAACAAACACATGGTATTCAACCGTTAATTAACGTACAATTAAATGCATTTCAATCACGTGTGACGACAATACTTACCCCGTTTCCACATTTCCCGGGAATTTCGGGACATAACCGACAAATTCGGGTCGAAATGAGCGGCAAATAGAAGTTAATCTCATTTATAACACCAATTGTGGGCAAAATTGAGTCAAATTTAAACCACAATTAAGTCATTGAAATGCAATCATTGGAAACAACATTAAACTTGTGTTTACTATACCCTCAAAATCAAGTGCACCTCATATTAAGCACACCTCTAGTATTGAGTGTACAAATGATTTGCTGAGCGCATGCGTGCATTCGTACACTCAATACTATATCGCCCTTAATATTCAGTGCACCTGATTTTGAGGGTAAAGTGAACGCAATGTTTATGAATATATGACTTAAGGCCTGACGTAAAGTACGTCTCATTCGTTGGTTTGGCTTTGATTTCGACATTAATTGCGATTAAATATCGCTTTAAATACTGATTTTGAGGGTAAAGTGAACGCAATGTTTATGAATATATGACTTAAGGCCTGACGTAAAGTACGTCTCATTCGTTGGTTTGGCTTTGATTTCGACATTAATTGCGATTAAATATCGCTTTAAATACAATTCAATTCATTGATTATTACATCAATAATACGCCTATTATTCGCATTAAATGGTAATTAATTTCGTATAAAATATCAATTAAAATGTTTTAAAACATAATTTGTGGTCATTTTTGGCGCAAAACTTGTGACGAAATGAAAAAGTATTTGACATAAAAATTGAATAAAACATCTCATGATTTGACAGTTGGACACAAGAAGTGGGACCTAATCGGTGATCGACAGCCAAAATGAAGTGCAAAATCGTTGGCCAAAATCTGAGAGGTATTTGAATAGGAGTTCACAATATTATATGTTTTGTCATTACTTTCGGTGTGTTTTTGAATAGTGTTTAGGTTTCGGCAAGCACAGAAGCCGGCGTAGAGGCGGCTACAGGAGTATACACACCTGTTATTGCGGCAATCATAGGTGAGTAACCAGTGAGCTTCTGTTACGGTAGTGAATTAGTGCAGAACTAAAAGTTGTCCCGAACTATAGATGAGATTACAGGCCATTAATGACAACAAAACGGCTTTCATTCAAATACAGTTTGATATGAATTTTTTCTCGTCGTTTGAATGCATTGTCGACACGAAATGCAAACTACTTTTGAAAGTAATTGGTTTTGGCATTCATTATATCAATACATGGACTCAATGTTTGTTTGTTTTTGCCATTGTTTTAGTCACTGATTCTTGTGTTTCGTGTCGTAAATCTGGACAAAACAGTGGAAAACTGTACTATTATTATGGATGAGACGATGCCGAGAGTGGTGTTTGACATGAAGTGCTTAAACGGTAGGCATTGATCTCCAGATCTACTCAATTAAGAGATCCATATGTGCTGTAAATACATATATAAATAATATGATAACAGGTGTGAGCCGTGAATACTTTGTGCCGTATATGGAGTCCTCGAATTTGCAGTACAATTCAATTATCAATTCAATGAACCCCTCATTCAAAGTGCAGTCAAAGTATTTATTTTTTAATTATTCTACTTTTAAAACAGTTTTAAATTTATATCTTTTTTGTCAGACAATTGTCCGAATGTTTGCATAACTTCTCCAATGAGACAAAAGACGTGACCCTTTGGTTAAAACCACAACAAATTCTGTTTAAAAGCTATTTCGATGACATCGAAGAGCAGAGTTAGTACTCAAAGCATATATTATTACAAATTGTTATAAATTATAATTTGCATTTGAATTCAGATATCATGACATCATTTGAATACAATTCAAGACATTTCCAAAACTATTGTGTCAATCAAGACATAACTGTCACTTTCGATGTCAAAGACCTTAGGGTTAAATTAATTTATTGTCGACTAAGATATTTGTTTTATAATATGAACTATTTATAGACATTTTTGGATTTCACATCACTTCGAGACCAAACCATTGAGTGTTACTTTCAGGCGTCGGGAAAGTCAGTATATTTAGCACTATATTTATTAAGACTTTAATTGTATTGTTTATTTGAAGGCCAATTGAGTTTGCAATGAAGTCAAACGATTATTATTTGGCAAAACTTACATTAGCCACACATGACTTTCCCGACGGTTTAACACCAGTTCCTCCGTCTATGAATAGGACAGTCGCCCAGTCGTCACATCAGAGCTCAAGTCTATTGGGGTATTAAACTAACGTTTCTCTCAATTAAACACAATTTTACTTAAAATATATTGTTTTTTATGTAAAGCACTGGAGTTCTCACCGAAGAGAATGGGAGTCCAATCAATTCAATGCCTACCACTTCTATTCACATGACGTCCAGTGAGGGCTCAGCGCTTCCCAACTCTATTCGTAACACTTTCACCACAAATAGAAGTAATGGACAGAATATAAATGCGGCGAACATTGAAAATCCTGTGATTGAACCAAACGAAGGAGAGTTTGATGAGGAAGAGGACGACATATTCGAGCAAATCCTATCGCATTTGCCTCAGTTTGCGAGCGGCAATTCCGAGGCCCGAACCCCCGCCGCCTTTCCTCTCTCCGGTGTTAACACTGTGTCCCAAATCAATCGAGTATTTCATTTCTATAGTAGTTTTCATTTTAAGTCTTATATTAACTGACGTTTGCTTTAACTGTTAGTATCAGAGAAGTGTTGTGTTTGGAGAGGACGACGACGACGGGCCGATTGTCATATACGGCGGCAGTCAACCTCTGCCGAGTCAGGACGCCTTCGCTGAAGAATCAGATCCAGAAGACAATCAATATCCGCATTGAATAATCATTTTTTTCATCTGTTTTTTTAAATCAATTTCATAAAAATCTATGTAATTTTATTGCTTTTTTAAATATGGGAACACATATTAACTATTAATTATTTCTTGACCAAACAATAATGTTCACGTCGAGTCTAGTATATTGCAGGTGAAAACAGAGTTTATTAACAACGTTAAAAACCTATGGCAACGCTATAGCGACAGGGATAATTAGGATTACAGGTTTATTGTCTGAAGTCTATATAAATGTGAATCAATTCTAACCTATTGTTGAGAAGACACTCTCCTTTGTTACTGTAATCAATAAATTATTAATTGAAGTAATGGTTAAATATAATGATAAATATAGTTACCTATAATCGACGGATCGGCAAATGGGGTATTTGGCAGCGCATACGTTAAAGCATGTGCTCAATGGTACCGATTTACTAAATAAATTATGGTAAGAATATTCATAAATTATAGTTAAATTTGTTATCAATATGGCTATCATTAGCTGACCTCTTAGCCTATATACTCTCGGGGTTTACGTACGCAGCCCATAAGGTAACTTTAATAGACTTTATTTATTATGTTTAACAAAAATGTAATGTAATGTTGCCTATAATTCAATTGTAATAATTACGTGATTCGCATCGATCGCCACAATAACCACATTTGCAGAGACAATGAAATCCAAGAAGTTTTCCTCTTTGGAAAATATCGGCGCATTCGCCACCGTTTAGACAAGGATTAGACGCACAGCCTCTCTTGTCCTTCGACTCAATCACCTAAATGTAAGTTTCAGTATATTTATGTAAACTATTGGCAAATAAATAAATTCAAGAATTGTGTGCAAAAATTTGTTAAAATTATGGAAATTATTGTTTGTAAGCCGTAGTGTTTGTAAACCTCAATGGATGAATGACATGTCTTTGTGTCGCAAATTATTTCGTGATAAGTCCACTCCTTATCGGTAATATCTGACCGATAAGAGGGACAATGAGGCGCCGGTATTATGGTCTCAGATGATAAGTCCCCCCAATGAAGAATACAAGTGCCAGAAGTTCCGCTATAACTGATAGATTTGCAGTCCTTCTCATTCAAACACATATCCAAACAATCGCCGTTATTCTCAGCCACAGACCAAACCAATACACTAGTGTTTAGACATCCGTTTCTATAAGTCTTCATATTTACTTCAATTCAGAATTACATCAAATTAGTTATTAAACCAAAAAAAAAATACAAAATACAAAAGATTTATAAATACATTTATCACAATGTTTGCCACAGTAATTGCACGGACACTATATGGACACGTATAACATTAAATGTGATCGCAATTTACAGTTAAATTGTTTGCAAACCTGACAGCCGTATGTAAAGGACTGGTGCGGCGGATCGTTTTGAATGGGTTCACAGAATCCTCCGTTCTTACAAATTCCGGGCACATTAGCGCACGTGTCCTCATTTGGTGAGGGCTTTGGCTTCTCGTGCGGACACTCAGAGTCGTTGATGATCTCATAGTAATCCCAAATCTCATTATTCTTGTTATCGCATCCGACTAACAATTGGGAGTCATTTCTGGTCACATAATTTATGAGACATGAGCCCATATTTCCTGTTATGAATACGATTATCAATATAGATTAAACAATTATAAAGCATTTATAATTATGAATAAATGGCTTCAGTTGTGAAAACGTAAGCCCTAAGCGATATGTCTTTAGTTCTGTTGAAAGTTCTAATCGCGAGAGAACTACAGGTTTTATTATAAACGGCTCTGTACGTAAGCCGTTTACTTATTAATTGTCTAAAAATTAAGTAAATTATTCATATATGTCAGTAAGTGATATGATATGGACATACAATCTCTACAACGGGGACCACATTTGCCGCGCGAACACTCTTTTCGTGGTATAACACAATTGGGATCTTCCAGACACTCGATGTCTTCGTAAATGAAAGTCAGATGAGATTTAGTGCACTCCAGCCTCTCTTCGACACTAAGCTTTTCATCGAATATATAACACGTGCCCATTATTTCAGACGCCATCTTCAGAGCCGAAGAGTTGACAAATGAGAAGTTAGTGTACTCTTCCTCGCCGTCGTCATCGTCTCCCCGACCTCTGCGTCGATTTTTCTTCAAATCACTTCCGTATTCATTATAATACTCGATAAGACTGTCGGGCTTTTTGACGGGAACCCAATTTTCGTGGTTCAGGACATTATTGAAGAGATTCTTCAGATCTAAAGTAGTGACACTTCGGGGCCCAATATAAGTGGCCGATTCACACGTGGCCTGTC